GAGACAGGGTTTCACCATGTTGACCAGGCTGGTCTCAAACTCCTGACCTCAGGTGATCCTCCCACCTCAGCCTCCTAAAGTTCTGGGATTATAGGCGTGAGCCACTGCACCTGACCTGGAGGTAGTTCTTAAAGTCTAGACTGATTTCCTTGTGTTGGAAGAAAGATTGTTAGGGGAGAGAACTGCTGCTTATTGAATGTTTCCCATGTGTAAGCCCTGTGCTGGGTGCTTGGGAATGTGATGTTATGGGAAGAAAAGGAAGAGAGAGACAAGAGATGATATTCTTACCCAGCCTCACTAGTAACTATGTGACTTCAGGTAGGTTAGTTACCTTCTTTGAGCTTCAGTCTTGTCACATTTAATTGGGATGAACACACCTCTATCATCGGTATCTGGGGTCACAAATTCCAGGTGGGTACACAGAGGAGTGAGGGAGGTCAGGTGGGGTCTGCAGTGTGTGGGAAAGCACACAGCCACTGCTCAAATCCAGCATAGTTGCTGTATGGTGGCATGGGCCCAGTGTGGCCTGATCTTATGATTTCTTTGAGAGAATTGGGGAGTCTGATTTTATGTGACACCCCCCCGACTTCCATTCACTAAAATGTCAGCTCCATGAGGGCAGGGATTTCCATCTGTTTTATTCTCTGGTATAGCTTGGTCCCATAAGCACTCAAAAGATAGTTATTGAATAAATGAAACTTTCCAATACATGTTGGAAGGGTATTTAAAATGTTTTGAAACCATGCACAGGCCACACCCAGCTTTCAGGACATGGGATTCCAACTTCTGGACTGTATGATGGGGTGATAGTAGGATATGAAAGTATCCTGAGAAATTGAAAGCAGTGTGTGAATGGGATGTTCATTTCTCCCTACGATCCTTTCATATCAGCTGACAGTAGACTCAGCACCTCATAGATGCTTGGCCCTGGAAATGATGCCATGTACATGAAGCCCTCAGCCTTCTTGGAGATCACAGTCATGGTCCTTACCCACAGCACATGGGTCTCAGTCTGGACCTCAACTTGCCCATCTGTAAAATGGGACATACATTAAATTCCTACAGCTCCTTTCAGCTCGAACATTATTTAAGTTTATTAGGATCATCCTATAAGGCATCTTCTCTTTCCCTGCCCCTGATTCCCTAGACCTGGGAAATTTACTCACTTGGTCCCAGGGGACCTATTTCTCTTACTCTGCCTGCCCTCAGGGGGTGCATTCTCTGCCTCACAAGCCCACATGGCCAAGCAGATGAGAAACAGGGCTCGAAACCTCCCTGTCCTGGTACCCATCTCTTCCTACTGCCACGAACACCAAGGCAGGTTCACGCCAACGGTGTTCTGTTCCTCATGGCAGGCTCCGACACCTGATAAAGAGAAACATCAAATCTGCTGGCTCCCTCTCCTAGAGGGGATGCCTGAGGACCTGCTGAAAGCTTTATCTCTGCTTGTCCTTTGGGTATGGCTAATGGGTGGGGCTGCACAGGTGCTTTACAGTAGACACACCTTCAGGCCTCTACCCCCTGAAGGGTGGGGATGTGGAGGTCACTTCTGGCAGTGGGAGTAGAAGTGGCAAGTTACCCGACCCTCTAGAGTCTCTGTGCCTAGTCTTTTAGATGGAACCCAGGTTAAAGGAAGGCATAGAAAGAAGGAGGGTCAGGCCTTCTCTGCTCCACTTGTCATCTCCCGGGAGGGGATGGGGAAGGAGCAGAGAGTAGCTGGGGAAGGTGGGGAGGGGCTAGGCTCTATGCCAGAGGAGAGAGATTTGTAAGCCATTTTGGTAAGGATTTTGAGCTGTTTAGGAGGGAGCAGGGCCAGCCTCTGTTGCAGAGAAGAGAAGAGTAGGGTATTTGGGGAAGAAATGGAGATGATTTCCTATGGAATTAGAGGGTCTGTGCTACTGTTCTCAGAGGAGATGGCCAAGACAGAGTCTCCTGGGTTAGGAGTGGGTTTGAGGGGTTTCCGTTCTTGTTTGCAGTAACTTAGGGGGTCAGCCAGGTGAGGAGCTACCTCTGCTATCAAATGGGGGTTGTAGCTTTAGGGGAGGGGCATCTCATGTAGAAGACAAGGTGCCCTGTGCCTGTGGCTGGTCTCTGTGAGGACCTGGACATTGTTTTAGAATGCCACACGGCACTCTGTGGCTCCATCACTTGCTCAGTTGGGCCCGAGTGGAGACACCTCATTGCCCTCCCTGGCCTGCAGGTGAACGTGCTGGCTCTCAGCATCTGCACACGGGAAGCCTACCAGTCCATGAAGGAGCGGAAGGTGGACGATGGGCACATCATTAACATCAATAGGTGAGGGCAGGTGGCCAATGGGTACCACTCACCCTCCAGGCTGGGTAATATGCTGCAGCTTACCTGACCTCTTTGGACCTCAGTTTTCTTGGTGGGAAAATACAGATTTAATACCTAAATGGCACAGTTATGGTGAGGGAAAGAATAATGTTGTCAAGTATCAGCCCCAGGTTGGCTGGAATGGGCAGCTCAGCCCCTTCCTTCTACAGCTGAAGCCTGGACCCTCTCCTGGGACTGAGTGCCTCTGTTCCTCAGGCCTGGGGATAAACCCGACTTCATGGCACAAAGAAGGACTATGTACAGTGTCTACCACTGGGGAGCCCCAGTCTGAGGTGGGACATAGCCTCTGCCTGCCCTGAGATGTCCCAGTAGAACCATATCAGTGAACATACAGATTAGATGGAGAGAGTTTTGACATTCTGCACCACCAGGAGAGTGCGTTCTGTGGTCAGCGTAGGGACGACTTCCAGGAAAAGGAGGGTTTTCCGAAGCTGCTTGAATAACCAAAATTAGATGAGTGAGCTGTGGGATGGCCACTAGAGGTCCCCGTTAGAAGGCTTCCACTGTGGGCATCTGGGTGCTGGGGGTGACCCGGTATGGCAGGGGCACTGCTGGTCTCCCTGGATCTTCATTTTCTCCTCTTTTCCCTTCCTCCCCCCACCCAGCATGTCTGGCCACCGAGTGGTCCCCCAGTCTGTGACCCACTTCTATAGTGCCACCAAGTATGCCGTCACTGCGCTGACAGAGGGACTAAGGCAAGAACTTCGGGAGGCCCAGACCCACATCCGAGCCACGGTGAGGCTGTGGCCTAGCCCTGGTGGGGACGGGGTAGGCGCAGGCCCTCCTCACCCACACACACCGTTCAGAAACCCATGTTCAGAATGTGCTGCTTAGAGCTCCTCAGAGTGGACTGGGCACAGAACTGGGTGCTGCTGCTCTCGGCATGGCCCTGCACAGCCCTTCAGTTTCCTCATTTCACTGAGCCAGGAGCCAAAGACCAGACTTAGACTTTGAGCTGGGAGGGGGGTGACCTAAGGTTACACGGTGGGAAAGTAAGGGACTGTGGGAAACCAGGTGCACAGTGGCTAGAAACTGGGACTCTGGGCTCTTCCCTTGAAGGCCATGTGATTGTGAGTCACTGAACCTCCCTGAGCCTTGGCCTTCACTTGTAAAAAGGAGATAATAAGTGTCCCTTAAAAGGGACACTTTTTTGTAAAATGTTTACCTGACATACAGGAAAGTCTCTGTAGATGGTAGGTATCATGTGGTCTCTGCCAGCGGCAGCTTTGGAGGGAGGAGGCAGCTGCCGGATTCTGGGAAGCCATCACTGTGAAAGCTGGGGCCCTGTGGCCTCCATCCTCTCCCCTTAACCTCCCCAAGGCCTGGCAAAGCTCAGCCCCTGAGCAGGCCCTCTCTGTTGGCCCAGTGCATCTCTCCAGGTTTTGTGGAAACACAGTTCGCCTTCAGACTCCACGACAAGGAACCTGAGAAGGCAGCTGCCACCTATGAGCAAATAAAGGTGGGGCCTCCGTCTGGGCCTGGTGAAGCCACTGACTCCCTAAATGAAGGCAGAGGGAACCCGGCCTTCAGACTCCACCCCTTCAGCCTTTTTGGCTCCTCCTGGAGGGTTGGGTGGGTGTGTGGATGCTGCAGAGGAGGTCAGTGGTGGGAGGGAACTGAGTCTATTTTGTCCTGTCTCAACCCATTTCCCCGGTGCTCTCAGTGTCTCCAACCCGAGGATGTGACCGAGGCTGTTATCTATGTCCTCAGCACCCCCCCACACGTCCAGGTGAGTCTGGCCCTGACTATCCACTCACTGGAGGCACCCAACCAGCCCCAGAGGAAGGAAGCAGGGAGCCCTGCAGGGCCAGGGAGAGTGTCCCAGGGCCTCATACCTTGTGCCTTCCACAGATCGGAGACATCCAGATGAGGCCTACGGAGCAGGTGACCTAGTGACTGTGGGAGCGCTTCCTTCCCTCCCCACCCCTCATGGCTTGCCTCCTGCCTCTGGATTTTAGGTGTTGATTTCTGGATCACTGAATACCACTTGCTGTCCACACCCTGGCCAGGGGTTAGAAAATTTGTCTAAGATTTTTATATCCGCTTGTCAAATTGCTTCCATTGTAAATGTGAAAAAAAGGGCTGGGGAAAGGAGGTGGTGTCCCTAATTGTTTTACTTGTTAACTTGTTTTTGGTCCCCCTGGGCTCCTTGGCCTTTTTCTGCTCTCAGTCTCTTCCCTTTGACCTGGGAAACGGGTTGTGGCCAAAATCCCCCCCATCTTCTTGCACCTCAACCTCTGCGGCTCAGGGCTGGGGTGGCAGAGGGAGGCCCTCACCATATACCTGCGTGGTTATCCAGGGTTCCAGACTTCCTCCTCTGCCTGCCCCACTGCCCCCTCTCCCCCTTCTCTTCCTCCTTCTCAGCTCTCCAGCCCAATTTTGGCTTCTTGTCCCCTTGTGGGGTCATCCCTCCACTCTGACTATGGCAGCAGAACACCAGGGCCTGGCCCAGTGAATTTCATGATGATCATTAAAAAAGAAAAATCGCAACCAATCTGCCTTGGCTTCAGGAGTGTCTTTCCATTCTTTCCCATTCTCTGTGATCAGGGGTGCTTGTGTCTCAGAATTTCTTCCAGGTAGGTGGGAAGCTGGATGGATTAGGGGGCCTCACTCATGGGAGTATGGATTACCTTAAGTAGCAGGAATGCATCTGTTTGGGCCTTGAAAATGTGTAGGAGTTTGACAAAGACAAAGAGAAAACAGTCTGTAAGACCGAGAGGCCTGGAAGAGCATGCAGTGCTGTGCGAACAGCACAGAACTTAAGCGCAGGAGCAAGATGGGGCTGAAGAGGCAGCTCCTTCCGGCCTTCCTGGATCACTGGGGGTGTGAGTGCTGCGCAAGAGTCTGGCCATTACCTGTGGGACGGGGGCATCAGTGGGCTTGTCAGCAGGGACACGACAGGCTCAGAGTCACTTGAGAATCAGCGGCCCGGGATAGGAAGTGACTGTTGGGGTCCTCCTACGGGCTAGTGAGAAGTTCTGGGAAAAATCACCAGCGCCGGGATGTGGGGAGGGAGGCAAAAGACTGAATTGGTTGACCAGGAAGGCCAAGCCATCTCCTTAAAGTCACCTTCGCTGGTGCGTGGGTGAATGCAGTCCCCAGCCTCCCGGGACCTCGAAAGGCACAGGACGCAGCCAGTAGTAGGGCCAGCTCAGCCTGCAGCACCGCTTCCCGCGCGCGCCGCGATGCGGTGGAACTCGTGCCTCCTCTACCCCTGTAGGAGGTGCTATGGGATCAGCCTGGCGACCGCGCATGCGCAAAAAAACCCCCTCCACGAAGGGCACGTGGCCTCCCGAACCCGGAAGCGAATGAACTCACGTGGGAGCCTGGGAGGGGTGTTTGTAGCTTGGTAGTCTAGTTGCAGGTAATCTGGGCTGTTTGTTCCTGTCCGGGAGAGCTCGGCGGAGGCAGCTGTCGAGTACCCTTCACCCTTGTGTTGGGAGCCTGGGAGCGAACTCTGGCGGGGGTTACCCCTCCCGGGGACGCAGCAGGGGGCGAGTCCCTGGCTGGAGTGTGCCATGGGACTGCTCTCAACCGTCCGGGGCGCGACCTGGGGTCGCCTCGTCACCCGTCATTTCGCCCATGCAGCGCGGCGTGGGGAGCGACCTGGTGGGGACGAGCTAAGCCGCCTGTTGTTGGATGACCTGGTGCCGACCTCGCGGCAGGAGCTTCTGTTTGGCCTGTCCCCTTGTCTCCTGGCTCTGCGGGCCGCCCGCCGCTACGTGGCCCGGCTCCTGCTCCAGGCGGGTAAAGCTGGGCTGCAGGGGGAGCGGGCTGAGTTGCTCCGTATGGCTGAGGCGCGGGACATTCCGGTTCTGCGGCCCAGACGGCAGAAACTGGACGCAATGTGTCGCTACCAGGTCCACCAGGGTGTCTGCATGGAGGTGAGCCCGCTGCGGCCCCGGCCTTGGACTGAGGCCGGGGAGGCGAGCCCAGGCGACGACCCCCAGCAGTTGTGGCTCGTCCTCGATGGGATCCAGGATCCCCGGAATTTTGGGGCTGTGCTGCGTTCCGCTCACTTCCTCGGAGTGGATAAGATCATCACCAGCCGGAGAAACAGGCACGGACGTCCCTCTTTTCCATGTGCCCCAACTTGGAGACGCAGCCGAGTTCCTAAGCACCTTGACCCTTGGGTGATCCCTTAGCCAGACTTAAATGTCCCAGAACTCTCACCCTCCTAGCCCTTGGGAGTCCGGGGAGGGTAGGGAACCGGGCTTGAGATGGTCCATCCTAATGCGGGGAACGGGGAAACCTTGCAGCTGCCCGCTCACTCCAGTAGTCAGCAAGGCCAGCGCGGGGGCTATGGAGGTGATGGACGTATTCTCCACTGATGATCTCACCGGATTTTTACAGGTAATAAGGGGCAAGAGGGGGAAGAGCAGATATGAACCCAGCGCAACCTCTTCAAGGGGACGCAGCTAGCAGTTGGTGGGGGAGAGAAAGGGGCATGTTGACATCGCTTCCTTCGGCCTTCTAAATCCCTCTGGGGACGGAGGGGTTCTGGAGTTTTTAAAACGACAGATGGAGTACTATCTGAATTCTCCTAGCGCTGTTCCGTTTCCTGCACCCCTTCCCCAGGTATACATCACTTTGCCTCTTCTGTAAGGCAGCCTCAGTGTCTCCTTGCCTACTAGGTCGGGCTTCAGTAAATGCATTTTGTTCAGCTCTGGGGAGCTGGTGGACAGGAGGCCTGAGTTCATCCAATAGGGACACAGCTTGAAAGGATCTTTGAACAAGGAGACCTTTATGCAGTTAATATCTAGCAAGCGACAAACCTTGGAAACTCATCTCCCAGGCGTCTTCAGCTGTGCTTCCCTCGCTGGACACAAGGGGGCAGTATTGCTCCGCATATGGAATCTCCTCTGACCAAAGCGCTTCCCAGTCCCACCCCATCTGCGGGTGAAAAATTTCCCTCTTAAGAAGCGGGAGAGCTCTGGGACGCGTCTAGAACAGTGCTATCCAATAAAAATATAGTGAGAGCCACGTATGTAGTTTTAGCTTTTCTAGTAGCTACATTGAAAAGTAAAAAGAGACAGATGACATTTTAAATAAATTGTATCCAGTATATCCAAAATAATATTAATTTAACATGTAATCGTTTTAATTATTGTTAATATTAATTTTTTGAGAGGGAGTTTTCACTCTCATTACCCAGGCTGGAGTGCAATGGCTCAATCTCAGTTCACTGCAATCTCTGCCTCCTGGGTTCAAGGGATTCTTCTGCTTCAGCCTCCCAAGTAACTGGAATTACAGGCACATGCCACCACTCTCGGCTAATTTTTTTCTTGTATTTACTAGAGATGGGGTTTCACCATGTTGGTCGGGCTGGTCTTGAACTCCTGACTTTAAGTGATCTGCTTGCCTCGGCCTCCCAAAGTGTTGGGATTACAGGCGTGAGCCACCGTGCCAGCCTTTTAAAAATATTAATGAAATATTTTACATTCCTTTAAAAATTCTTTTACATACAATGCATCTCAGTTTGAATTAGCCACCTTTCAATTGCTTAATAGCTGCATGTAGCTAGTGGCTACTATATTGAGCAGCATATCTCTAGAAGCATTTTTTGGCTTCCCCTTTATGTAGGGAGCCCCTTTCTCCAAGCCTGATAGGAGATGAGGTTCCTTTTCTTCACTCTCAGCTCCTGACCAGGTAGTTTCTGAAAACACAGAAACACTGCAGAACACCTGCGTAAGCTCCAGTCATCACATCTCCCTACTGTCATCAGCATCTGGCCTGGAGAGTGTCGTCCGCCTGTTGCTATGGAAGAGCCGGAGGTGCCCCACGCAGGGACCTGTGCTGGGGCCCCGTCCCTTTCTGCCTACTCAGAGATACTACTCTAGCAATTTTCCTCCCCTCTCCTGCATTATCCACTTTTCTCTTACGCTCTCCTCAGCATGCAAACAAACATCCCCCTCTCACTCTCTTGATCTCATAGCAATCAGCCCCTCCTGTCACACTGAATCCAAGGCCTTGTCAAGGTCACCAGTGGCCTCCATGTTGCTGGATTCCAGGGTCCGTGCTCAATTCTTGTCTGACTTGACTCGTCTGCAGCATCTGGCACAGCTGGCCACTCCTTCCTCCTTGAAACACTCTTCGCCTCCTTTCCTTCGCTTCACCTTGTCCTCTCTGAGAGACACTTTTAGTGGTTCCTCCTCAACCCCCTGATGTCCAAGTATTAGCATGTCCTGGAGTTTAGTCCTAGGATGTTGTTTTGTTGTTAAGAGATGGGGTCTTGGCTGGGCGCAGTGGCTCACGCCTGTAATCTTAACACTTTGGGAGGCAGAAGCCGGTGGATCACCTGAGGTCAGGAGTTCGAGACCAGCCTGGCTGATACGGTGAAACCCCGTCTCTACTAAACCCAGGAGGCAGAGGTTGCAGTGAGCCAAGATCCACCACTGCACTGCAGCCTGACAGAACAAGACTCTGTCTCAAAAACCAAAAAAAGTTAGGTTTGAAATGCCCACCTAACAGCAAAACAACAACAACAGCTGTGGAGCAGGCCAGTAGAGGAGTGAATCTGGAACTCAGAAGCACGGTCCAGCCTAGAATATACAGTTGGTGGGGGTGGGGGGCGGGGGGTGTCGGGACTTGAATTCAGATAGTATTTAAAGCCATGAGATTAGATGAGACCAGCAAGAGATGAACAGATACGGAAAAGAGATCCAGGGCCAGGTGAGGTGACTCACGCCTATAATCCCAGCACTCCGGGAGAATAAGCGGGAGGACTTCTTGAAGCCAGGAGTTTGAGACCAGCCTGTGCAACCTCGTCTTTACAAAAAAGAAAAGCAAAAGAAAAAAATTGGGTGCAATGGTGTGCACCTATATCCTCAACTACTCAGGAGGCTGAAGTGGGAGGACGGCTTGAGCCAAGGAACTCGGACAATGTATTGAGCTGTGATTGTGCCACCATACTCCAGGCTGGGCAACAGAGCAAGACCCCATCTCTCTTTTTTTTTTTTATTTTTTGAGATGGAGTTTTGCTCTTCTTGTTCAGGCTGGAGTGCAATGGCGCAATCTCAGCTCACTGCAACCTCCGCCTCCCGGAATGCAGCAACATGGAGGCCACTGGTGACCTTGACAAGGCCTTGGCTTCAGTGTGGCAGGAGGGGCTGACTGCTATGAGATTAAGAGAGTGAGAGGGGAACTCAAGCAATTCTCCTGCCTCAGGATCCCAAGTAGCTGGGATGACAGGCACCTGCCACCACACCCAGCTAATTTTATATTTTTAGTAGAGATGGAGTTTCTCCATGTTGGTCAGGCTGGTCTCGAACTCCTGATCTTAGGTGATCCACCCACCTCGGCCTCCCAAAGTGCTGGGGTTACAGGTGTGAGCCACCAAGTCTGGCTGAAGATTTTTTTTTTTTTTTTTTTTTTGAGATGGGGGTCTCACTCTGTCACTCAAGCTGCAGTGCAGCGGCACAATCTCAGCTCACTGCAACCTCCGCCTCCCGGTCTCAAGAGATTCTTGTGTCTGAGCCTTTTGTGTAGCTGGCAGTACAGGTGCCCACCACCAGGCCCAGCTAATTTTTGTATTTTTAGTAGAGATGGGGTTTTACCATGTTGGCCAGGCTAGTCTTGAACTCCTCACCTTGGTGATCTGCCTGCCTCAGCTTCCCAAAGTGCTGGGATTACTGGCTTGAGCCACAGTGCACGGGCTCCGATGAAGATTTGATGAATTAGAATATGAGGGCCAGGCGCGGTGGCTGATGCCTATAATCCTAGCTCTCTGGGAGACCACGGCAGGAGGATTGCTTGAACCCAGGAGTTCCAGACCAGCCCGGGGAACATGACGAAACCCCATCTCAGAAAAAAAAAAATGAAAAAACTAGCTGGGCATGGTGGCAAGTGCCTGTAGTCCTAGCTACTCGGGAGGCTGAGATGGGAGGATCACCTGAGCCCAGGAAGTTGAGGCTGTGGTGAGCTGTGATTGTGCCACTGCACTCCAGCCTGAGTGACAGAGTAAGACCCTTTCTCAAAATTAAAATAAAAAAAGAATTAGAAGATGATATCAGGGCCGGGTGTGGTGGCTCACACCTGTGATCCCAGCACTTTGGGAGGCCGAGGTGAGTGAGTCACCTGAGGTCAGGAGTTTGAGACCAGCCTGACCAACATGGCAAAGCCCCATCTCTATTAAAAATACAAAAATTAGCCAGGCATGGTGGCACATGCCTGTAATCCTAGCTACTTTGGAGGCTGAGGCAGGAGAATCGCTTGAACCCAAGAGGCAGAGATTGCAGTGAGCCAAGATTGTGCCATTGCACTCCAGCCAGGGCAACAGAGTGAGACTCTGTCTCAATGTCTCGAAACAAAAGATAGAACACCATATTTTCTTCCCCCTTTCAGACCAAAGCCCAGCAGGGCTGGCTTGTGGCCGGCACGGTGGGCTGCCCAGAGCCTAAAGTTCTCCAGTCCTCCGAGATCCCCATCATGAGCTCCTTGGAGTTCCTCTGGGATCAGCCTACTCTCCTTGTGCTGGGTAAGTGGATGTCCCTGCTTTTCTTTGCCCAGATTACATTTCCCGAGCAATTGGGTGTCCAGCTGGGCAGCCCTAAACCTCGGCCCCATGCCCTGCAGGGAATGAGGGCTCAGGTCTGTCCCAGGAGGTGCAGGCCTCCTGCCAGCTGCTCCTCACCATCTTGCCCCGGCGCCAGCTGCCTTCTGGATTTGAGTCCTTGAACGTCTCTGTGGTTGCAGGTGCGTCTTGTCCCCCTTCCCTTTCCTCTCCCCCTAATCACACAGGTGGGATTGGATTCCCTCCAATCGCATTTGCCAGCTGTCTCTGTGCCTCAGTTGCTTTATGTGCAAAATGGGGAAAATACATCCTGTTGATGAAATGAGGGGCTGCCTGGCACATGCCTAGTCTCCAGACATCCTCCTCCTCTGTCTCTCTTCCTGTTCCTTGTGTCTGTGCAGGAATTCTTCTTCACTCCATTTGCAGCCAGAGGAAGGGTTTCCCCGCAGAGGGGGAGAGAAGGCAACTTCTCCAAGACCCCCAAGAACCCTCAGCCAGGTCCGAAGGACTCAGCGTGGCTCAGCACCCAGGGCTGTCTTCAGGATCAGAGAAAGAAGCAAAATGAGGGCTGAGGCGGACTGTCCGCGATGTGCACGTGCTGGGGTCAGGGACTGCCGCGCCTGCATCGCCTGCTCCAGTGTGTGGGAGTCTCTGCCTGAGTGTGCACCAGGCCCATGTCTATTGACCACAGTCTGCGGGGGGAAGGGGACTGCTGTGGAGGCCAGAGGAAGCTGTTTCCTGTTGTGATGTTGGACCTGTAGTAGGATATGGTAGTTTGTTGATTTCCATGATGGGCTAGCATGGAGGGAATCTGTCCTCCCAGGCCCTGCCTGGAAGTCGGGGGGAGGTCTAGACACCTGCAGGGAGGCAGACAGCCCAGCCCAGGGACCCTGTTCCTCTGGAACCGGTCGTTGCCCGTGGCGAATGTGTGTGTGAGAATGTGGGGGGGGGGGGGGGGGAGAGGGCGGGGTCTCGATGTCGGATGGACAGTGCGCACGCGCAGGGCCACACGCGGCCCCCACCGTGGAGCCCTGAGCGCGGGCCTCATCTTCCTGTGCCTCGCGACCTCAGCACCTGTCTCAGGGTTGTTGTGAGGCTCAAATAAAACGTCAGTCAGCACGTGGGAGATTCTGGCCTATTCCTCCACTAGGTGGCAGCCTCGCTCTTCTGTCCAGTCTTCAGGACGCTTCCACGGCCGCCCTGCGGGGAGACTCCCGGCTGCAGCCCCACGAGAGGCGAGGGGAAATGAGCAAACACTTCCCACCCCACTGGGACCCCTACGGGTGACTGAGTCAGTTCCCCTCAAGGGGAGGACCTGGGGGCAGGCTTGCCTTGGATTGTACAACCGAGCCAGATTTGGTGCTCCTCCCCTCGGCTCCCACAAAAGCAGCAGGAGCTGGCAGTGTGCGTGACATAGAAGTGTTTGTCTTGGCAGCACATTGGAACCACCTGGCCTGCTTTAAAAAAAACCCAACGCTGACACCAGAGATCCTGACATGATGGGTGTGGCACGACCTGGCATCTGGCTATCGAAAGCGCCACCGTTGGTCTAACGTGCAGCCAAGGCTGAGAACCACTAGGGCAGGTGGCCTCAACTTCCACACCCCTGACATTTTGGGCTGGAGAATTCATTGCTGTGAGTGCCGTCCTGCGCGCTGTAGGATGGCTTCTGGGAGACAAAAATTGCCCCTCCTGGAGCCTGGCTTTGGAGGGTAGCAACCCCGAAATTGCAGTCCTGACTGCTATGTGACTTTCGGCAGGCTCCTCACCTACCTGGGCACACCTGGGCCTCTGTGTCCTCCTGGGCGAAAGGGGAGTCATCCTACCTTCCTGGATTGTTGGGAGAATATGGAGGGCAACAGGAGCTCGGTGGCTCACACGAGTTAGGTGCTCAGTACATAGTACTCCCCTTTTCTCTGTAATCCATCTGCAATGGAGTTTTCTTAGAATTCTAATGGCGATGCCAATTTAGAGCAACACTTGAAGTTGTTTAAAAAAGGGCCTAAGCTCGCTTTTTTTTTTTTTTTTTTTGAGACAGGGTCTCACTCTGTCACTCAGGCTGGAATGGGGCGGTGCAATCTCGGCTCAAGGCATCCTCTGCCTCCCGGGTTCATGCGATTCTCCTGCTTCAGTCTTCTGAGTAACTGGGACTACAGATGCTCCACCATGCCTGGCTAATTTTTATATTTTTTTGGTAGAGACAGGGTTTTGGTTATTGGCCAAGCTGGTCTCTAACTCCTGGCCTCAAGAGATCTTCTGCTTTACCCTCCCAAAGTGCTGGTATTACAGGCATGAGCCACCACACCTGGCCTAGGAAGGACCTAAGATCTTTTTAAAGTCAAAGTTATTCCTCTCAAGAAAGAGGACAGAATCCCTTCATCAACTCCACTGATCACCGGCATCTGTCCCTGTGAGCTCCCTGTCCGTGACTGCCACGCAGGCTCTGACCCATCCCTGCTTCGTTCTTGGCCAAGAGCCTAGTGTAGTGACGTTTCACTTCAGCTTGTCATTGGGGTCAAGGAGGAGGATATTTTTAAGATTTCAGAAGCCCAGAGGCACTGACTGATTAAATCAGAATCTCTGGAGAACTGGAGAAAGAGCCATGTGTTGGGGTTTTTTTTTTTTTTTTTTTGAGATGGAGTCTCGTTCTGTTGGCCAGGCTGCAGTGCAGTGGCACGATCTCAGCTCACTGGAACCTCCATCTCCCGAGTTTAACAATTCTCCTGTCTCGGCCTCCTAAGCAGCTGAGATTACAGGAGTATACCACCACACCCAGCTAATTTTTAGTAGAGACAAGGTTTTGCCATGTTGACCAGGCTGGTCTTGAACTCCCTGACCTCAGGTGATCTGTCTACCTTGGCCTCCCAAAGTGCTGGGATGATAGGCATGAGCCACCACACCCAGCCTCAGTCTCTCTTGCTGCTTTTTTCCCTTTGCAATCTCTAAATCAGCTCTCCTGGGCGTCCTGCTTGCAGACTCACCCTGCACCTGTTGAGACTTACCCACCTCCATCATTGCATGAGCCAATTCCTTATAATCTCTTGAACACACACACAGCTGGTTTGTTCTCTGGAGAAACCCAGTACACTTGATGAAAATGAATGTAGGCATCCCAGTGCTTCCTGCATATGGGGTTCAGAGTTGAGCTCTGCTCACCCAGCATGGAAGCTAGAAGTTGGAGTAGGGGCTACTCAGGTACCCCCACACCCCACAGATGCCTCCAGGGTGGCTGGAACCCTATGTAATCTGCCTTGGGCATGCCGTGCATCAGCTTTCCATGTGCCAGTGGTCTGGGCCATCTAGAAGACTCTCTTGGGCTTAGTCAGGTACGGGGGCTTCTCCCTGCTTCACTCCTTGGGCAGCAGGCTGGCTGGCCTCTGGGAAGACAGGCTCACTGAAACCAAAGGGGGTAGAGGCTGTAAATTTCAGGCCACGCACACATAAATGTGTGGTCATTTCCTTTATACAGGCAGTCACCCAACAAAGAGGGAAGGCCTGAGGTTCTAAGGATGAGGAGGTCTGAATCTCCTTCGAGCAGCCTCTGGTGCCTGGCACAGTGCCTGTACACTGAGTGGACACTGCTCAGCAAGTGTGGGTTAAGTACACAGGAGCTGGGGAGGCTGTGTCTGTGGGTGTGAAGGGGCTGGGGGGGGTCCACCCCCTCCCTGCAGGGCAGAGTTGGAATGAAGTCAGAGGGGAGAGCAGTGATAGTTAAGAGCAGGAGCCTGGCTGCCAGACAGTGCTTGCGTTGAGTTCCAGCTCTGTGGCTTGCTAGATGTATAAAGGTGGACATGTCCCTTAAATTCCAAGCCTCGGTTTTCATCATCTGTAAAATGGGGAGGACAGTGGTCTCCACTTCAAAGGATGGTGGTATGGACTGAACGAGACCATACCTGTAAAGCCCTCAGGCCCGTGCTTGGAGGAGCATGGTAGCTGCTCCTGGAAGCCTCTGGGGCCAGATCTAGAGGTCAGGGCACTGGGCTGTGCTCTCCAACTAACCTGCCTCAGTTTCCCTGTAGGCTCCGGTGGGCCCCTTTCAGCTGTAGTGCACACTGATTTCCCCCTGGGAACTGCTGGAGAGAGTTGAGGGAGGAGAGGGGTTGGAATGACACTTGCAGGAGCCCCCTTCCTCAGGGCCCCAAGACTCGGAGTTGCCAAGACGGGAAGTGTCTAAGAGGAACTGGCACTGACTTGGTATTCCCAGAGCAGCTGAACCAAGGCCAGCACCCCAGATCCCTGCTGCAGGCCTGGGATATTTTTTTGGCAGGAGACTAAACTGTCCAAGCCCCCCTCCCCCTAGGCTGGGGTCCTAAATTAGACAGCACCCCCTACCACCACCACTCCTGCAGGGCCAGGTGCCAGGGATCCCCACAGTTTGTAAATGTAATCAACATTGGGGTTTCTCACTTCCACAGGTGCAATTAGCATGCCCATCTGCTAATCCCTGATTAATGGTGTTTACAAACATGGGTCTCCGCTGTAGAGCTGCTCAGCCCCTCCCTCCTGGGGTTGTGAGGCAGGGGTCTTCCCAGCAACATTTCCCCACTTCTTCAGACCTCCTCCGCAGCTAAGATCACTCTGCTTCCCCTTCCCCAGGCATAGACAGAGCTGGAGGTCCCTCCTCCTCCCACCCGAAGCTCGGAGCTCCCTGGCCCCTTCTCGGTGTACATATGTGGAAGCAGAGAGCAGGGAAAGCAGACAGAGTCGGGGTGGCAAGGCCAGCATCCTACTCGTCCTCGTCCCATCGACTCAGTCTACCAGTGTCTTTCTTCCCAATTCTGAGCTTCAAGGATGCACACTGGGCGCGCTGCCTTTATTCACCACTCAGCTCCAGCCCCGAGGCCACACATACAGCCCCGCTGCAGGAATTCTCGACGGGTTAGAAGTCCCATACCAAAGGCAGGGTGTCAGACAGTGCTGAGTCCACATGCGGGCTCTACTTTAGGCGAGTCATTTACCCTGATTGAGCCTCAGTTTCTTAATCTGTAAAATGGAGATAAGCATACTAATGTAGGCGTAAGGTTCATATGTGAGGGTTAATGATGGGATACATGAAAAAGACTTAGCACAGTGCCTGGGACACGTAGGTGTTCAATAAATGTGAGCTTTTAATTGCAATGACGGTGATAAGAGGAGGCTCTTGAAACTAAAAAAAATGCCCAAGCGCTCCTCCTCCTCCCTC